GCACAGGATAGAGCAGGGTTTACGGCTGTTGTTCATAGGGTCACAATGAGTTACAAGCGACTCAACAGCACATCACAACAACAACATTAAAAATAGTGTTACAATAAATAGGGGAGTGGATATGTCTGTTCTTTCACACCTCTTATATCTTTAGGATATACACCAAGTAACAGGATTGTTGGGTCAAAAGGTATTCTTAATCTCAACTTCAAAGGACGTCCAAAACTGCTTTCCAAAGTGATTGCACCAATTTTTATTCCCACCAACAGTAAGTAAGGTTCCAACCTCTTCACACCCTCAAAAAGGCCCTAATTTATAATAAAATACCTAAGGATATATTTATTTTATACTTAACTTTTTATGTACATTAAACAGGTTGCAGCAACGTCTGGTAAAAAGACTTGAAACTTTTGCATTTAAAAAAAAGATACAATTAAGATGGAAAGGACAAACATTTTAATTGAGATATATGAATTACTAATAAGCACAAGAAAATATGTAAAAATCATTGTTTTTAGGTGCTTTCAAGTTGACTACAGCTCATACCTACTCTATCAACAACAGATCTGAAACTTGCCCTATCTTGTGCCATCCTCACCATCTCTGTCATACTCAAGCTCACTGTTGTCAACACTGTGTCAATTCATCTCACTGAAAGTCTCCTTTTCTTTTAATGACCCTCTACCTTTCCCAGGATGATTTAATTGTCCAAGGATTAGACCCTTTTGACAACATACCCAAACTACATGAGACAGTTTCTCCATTCTTGTGGCTAAGGTGCCAAGATGCATGTGTTTTGCTGAAACACCTCAGTGAGTAGTCCATGAATTCATGGGGATTTCTTTTCTTTTCTTTTTTTCTTTTTTTGCCAGTGTCTGATTCCCACTACACAGTGACAATTATCCCTTAAATTTCAAAGGGCTGACTATGCCAACCATTGATGAGGATATGTTGAAATTTAAACTCTTATACATTGTGTTGGGAATGTAAAATGGTATCAATTACTTCAGAAAACAGTTTTTTTTCTTAAAAATTTAAACATACATCTATGCTTCACATACTTGATGTGTTGGAGTCAGTGAGACTGGGTCAGGAGAGGGCAGGCTTCAAAGTCGTTGCATACAGAGTCATGATAAGTCACAGGTGACTCTACAGCACATAACAACAACAACAAAATCTATACTTGATACACTTGGGTATTTTCCCAGAAGAAAATATGTCCAATGACTTGTAAATGAATTTTCAT